GTTGCTCTTTTTTTTCTTCTGCACATGGAGAGACCGATAGCTGCATCTTAGTGGGTGCTCATAAGCTTTTAATATCCCAGGTGCTATACCCAAGTAGGATGTAGAACACTGTCTTTGTGGGCTATGTTGTTCCAATTGACCATGGTGTTCCCTGAGACTAGGGTCCTGAGGCCCCAGGTCCAACAACTCATTGCCTTAAGATGTTTGATAATATCTGAGAAGTTTTCATCACTTTGCCCAGCCCTTTTGATTTGGAATGAATGTGATGCTTTTCAGAGCAGTTGGTAGTAGCAGCCAGGCACTGTCCAGTTCTTCTGGTCTCAGAGTCATGGAGATTGATGTTCACATGGTCCAAGAGTCTATTGGACGAGTTGATTCCAAGCCTCTTCAATTCTCATCACTCTTTCTTCCACACACAGAGAGACCAGTAGCTACACCTTAGATGGCCACTCATGAGCTTTCAAGATCCCAGGCGCTACTTACCCCAGTAGATAGTGGAACATTGTCTTTGTGGACTGTGCTAGGTCAGTTGACCATCTTGTACCCTAAGGTTATGCTCCTGAGCTGCCAGGCTCAGCTTCTCATTGCCTTAAGATGTTTGGTAATATCTAGAAATGTGCTCCACCACATTCGTAGTTGTGTTTGCAGGAAAGGTAAAAATTTATTTACAAATTACCTCATTTATTTGTGGGATGCATATATATATATCTCCCACTCTTCCTCTCTTACCCATTCCGTCTGTGTCTCAATCCATGTATCTACACACAGAACACTGTTGTTCCAAGGTTGTGTATGTATCACTATTTACCTCTGTCCTCTTTAGCCCATGCATACCTCCCTGTGTCTTCACCTGTCTTCATTATTCTTCTGCCACCCTCCCTCTTCTTGTACCTTGCCCTCCCCCTTCTTATATATTGCCCTCCTTGTCATCCGAGCTACCATGTCTGTACCCTCTAGCCCGTGAATTACTCTCCACTTTCTCTTACCATCAGTGATGCTCTTTTTGTCTGGAAACCTTTTCTTCAGTTTTTACCATAGTGATCTCATCCAATCTTTGTCCTTTTGTGGTTGATTAATTTCACTCAGCATAATGTCCTCCAG